ATATAAAAAACAAAGAATATTATGACATGATTACTAGAAAATTATGAGAAAACTAATTGATAAGTTAATAATTTATTATTGTTTATATTAAAAAAATAATGGTAGTGATTATGAGTTTATGAAGAAATGAAAAACAACTTTAGGGATGTCTTATACAACTAGTGTAATTTTAACACAAGAATATCTGTTTAAGCAATGACTTGTTGTGGATATAGGAAAAGGCTATAAATTTATTAACTATCCGTATCCAAGGTTATAATACATTTAAACCTATTGAAACCACAATTCAAGCGACAATTTATACATATAATGCTATATTGAAATTACTTTTAAAAAGTTAAATTCTATAATACTGGTATAGAACATAGTACGTCATATTTCTTTAAGTTGCAAGACGATAATGGATAAAATTATTTGTATGATAAGTAGCATCCTAAATATTGTGGAATTACAAGATAATTTATTCGATCAAATGATTTTACCTTTTGTAACTAACTAATGTACATTAATTATTGTGAAAAAACGAAGAGCTACATACATTATTATAGAAAAATATTTATTTAGTTTAGTTTAATATTTACAAACTTAATTATTATATTTAACCAAATTTGATACGAGTTACAATACATCAAATTTTCAACTGAAAAACTATTGTTTTTAAGCTTTTAATATTAATAAAACATTTACTAATTTAATATTCATTCTAATATCATAAATAGTAATAATTAAATAGATATATTAATAATGAGTCATTAAAAAATATTTTTCATCCAAAATTTATATACTGTATTTTTGTGACAAAAATGTTTTAGTTTACTTTTATTTAATATACTGCTTTTTATAAAAAAAACTTGTAAATTTACAAGTTTCATTGCATTACTATTTACCTGTTTCTTTTTTTAATTTTTACATGAATTTAGTATTTTAAAATAAATTACTAGAAAAAATTATTTATATTATTATAATTAATATAATAAACTATTAATGTAATATTAATATAATAAACAGTGATTAATCTTAATACAATTTTTTACATATGTTTATTTAATTTAAAATAATGTTAATTTTATTAGAATGTCAACAAAATATTAGGACTAAAAAAAATATTTTATAATAACTCTACTAGTTATTCAATTACATCAGTGAATTATAAATTATATTACTATATACTTTATTTCATTTATTTGTGCTTGCATTTACAAAAAGAAACTAATGATCGATTACAACTGCTCTTTAATATTGTATAGTAGCTTGACTTACAAATACGTAAGAATTAATCATTTTATAATTATAATAGAAATCGCATTACTATATCTTCAAATCAAATAGAATAATAAATGCGAAATCATTGTATCATTTCTAGATTGGGTTTTTCTATTTGCATATTATGGTATATTTTCGTCAGGCTTGTATCAGTATTTTTAAATTTATTTTTAACTTGAATAATAGTTTATATGAGCTATCTATATTATCATTTAGAGTTAAATTAATCAGTATTTTAAAAACCTAATTAGGCTGGTATAGACGGTTATTTATTCAATATTTTAAACATTATGACTGAATAAATCTTAAAGAATAACTGCATTGATTAATATATGTGGTGATATTTAACCCGTATATTTTAAAAACTTAAACAGTATTCTTTAAAACAGTAAATTTTGTAGAATATAATGTATCGAAGGTTTCCGAAAAACAGCTTGTGATCTAAAAGACGTAATCTAATTAGCAATGCATTTTTGTTATTAGAGTTCTTAATCATTAATTATACCATATATTAATTTTTCACTTAAAACATATTTGTAGTATTTATCTTAGTACAATCATAAAATTGCAGTCTAAAACATACAGTAGATTGCATATTAGCCAGTATTTCAAATATCTTTCGTTTATTTGATAAATTGTAGAGTGAATGTCCTTCCGTTCGTTAGAAAATAATATGAATATTTTTTCAGCATCGAACTTCCATTGTGCAATATTTTAATTACAAGGTTATTTGCATTCATTATTTAAAATACAATAATGAATTTCAATAGCCACTCGCCTGCGAGCGTAGTAATTGTCTTCTCTATATATTTTTTAATGTTATTAAATAAAATTAACTATATATATTTATATGTTCACACAAATACAATTTATAATTTTTTTTTTATGGAATTGAAAAATTTTATATTTTTTATCTTAATGTAATTCTTTTAAATTAAATTTTGAGAAATTTATGAATTAAATTTATTAAAAATTTTCATGATTAATAATATAATAATTTTTTAAATTCCAATCATTTCTAACCTTTTGATATTATTTAAAATGAGTAAATGAAAAGGTGTTATTTTGACTTAATTTATTTAAACTAATAATATAGCAAGAAAAAGTAACTTATTGAACAGTAACTTATACTGAATTAATATTTTATGTATTTAATAAATTAAGTGACAACTTTGTATAGTGATAATTATTTAAATTATTTAATGATTAAATGATGCAAAGATGATACCATTTGTTCCATTACGATATTTTATAATATTGTTTCAAATATTCATTTATATTAATAATTTCATTATCTAGGATAATTAAGTTCTTTTCAGCAGAGACAATGAATAGTAAATGTTATAAGTCGTAAACAAAGATAGCAGGCACAACGTTTTACGTGGAGGATCGTTGATTGATGTGATTTAATTATTAGTTTTATATGGAACTAGATGATTTATATAATATAATCTGTAATAAACGTCGTAGTTCTTATTAATGATATAATAATAAACACAATTGAAATATTTGTACAATAATTGACAAAAAACTAGTCAATAATATTTACGTGACGATGAAAATAATGATAATAGTGGTAACAATGGCGATCTTATATAATAATAATAATAATAATAATAATAAAATATAATTATTATGATTTCATTATATCTATTAAAGAATGATAGCAATATAATAAAATGCCCAAATAGAATTTAATTGAATAAAAAAAATAATGTAAGACTAAAGTTAAAAAATACATACGATTTGATATCATATACATTATTAATAACAAATATTCACATCTAAAAATAAATAAACTGCAAATTAAGATAATGAAAACCTCGATTTAAAAATATTTCGTTTCAAATTTTTTATTTTTGGAAAGATATTTTAGATTTAAAATATTCAAATTTGAATGTTTTTTTTAGATTATATAATTTTTTAATTTTATCAAAAATTATCGAAATTTTATTTAGATATTATTATTATTATTAATCAAATTTTTGTAAAAGTTATTTACAACAATTTTAAAAGTTTTTAAAATAGTTGGTATAAAATATTTATACTAATTATTTTGTTTATGAAACTTATAAATTATAATTTGACAAGTATGTAAAACATATCTATACGAAATAGTTATATCAAGAAATTAAAACCTATATAATAAGTAAATATTATAGTTCATTATTTTTTAAGGAATCAACATTGGATATCTGAATATTTTATTAAAAGTATCATCATTGTTATAATCAAGTATTGAGTTATTTTGTTACGAATTTGTTTGATAACTGCTATTATATGCAGCTGAAGTGTATATACATAAATCGATATATATTTATCTAAATTCTTATGGTATATTTAATTTTATGGTTTTAGAAAATTTTTAATATAATTTCAGCAAATATAAATTATAATGTATATTTATGTGTCCTACATGTATACTAAAGATTATTCCTGGAATATTGAAGTAAATCATATTTAATATACTTAATGCAAATTTTGCATTTACTTTCTATTATATAGAAGTTGCATTTTTATGCGTCTATTAGTACAAATTTTTAAATATAATGGTTTGAATTTTATTTTTTTTATTTGAATTATTTTTATTTGAATATTATTAAAGAAAAAATGTATTAATGTTCCAACGAACAAAAGATAATTACTTGAATTTTAATTTAAAAAAAGTAATGTTATATTATTAGGAGATATTTTATTATGTTTTTAATTAAATCAATATTTATACTTTTAACTAAAATTATAATGAAGAACTCCAAAAATCAGTGTTTATATGTCGGTTAAAGTAAGCAGTATAGATTTTTTCAAATATTAACAAGAAATTTAAATTAAAAATTCCATTTACTATAAACCAAGAAAATATTAATCAATTTAGGGTTTTACAATTAAATATCCAAATTCAGAATTTATTTTAAAATTATATTATAAATAACATAAATATAATAGTTTTATAAAATGTATTGTAGAATTAATACTACTTTTTTAATTTTATGGTATTGTTTAAAAAATAAAATTACAGGACCTTTAATAATATTGTATTTTACTAAGTATATAAAAAAAATTTAATAATATTTGGAACACAGGTATTTCTAGTAAATTTATTGTACTAATTAATATAAAATTTTTGTTCTAAATTAATACTTCATGCAAACTTTGAATTCTTTACATATATGACTGTTTTAAATTTATTAAATAATGACAAATTATGAAACTAATTAATAAATTTATTGTATTAATTTATTAGTCATTAATTCAGAAACAAAATTCCTTTTCGAAGAGATATATGTTTTTGATATTTAATTAATCGTTAACTTGAATTTGGGCTCTTTTGCAATATGAATAGTAAATAAATTTTTTAACTTATTTAAATATAATTACAATTATAATTGTTATTATAATTTTTATTACAAATTCAATGGTATTATTAGACAACTGATTGGTAAGAAGAGATTAATTAACTTTGGAGTGGTATAGTAATGCCTGTATTAGATAATTGTAGATGAAATCATAATTTATAATGCAATAAATATTTGTGAATTTGTTAAAATAAAATTATGCAAAGTAAAAATTCATGAACAGCGTCATTAATAATTAAGGATTGTTTCATTTGTATAATAATTGTATTAAAATTTTAGCTAAAATTCCAGCTAATGGGAACAAAAATCAGTATCTAGAAAATGACTTATAGATAACGGTAATTTTTCATAACGGGAAAAAGTTCAATGTTAAGAAACAATGTAAAAAGTAAAAACAATATCAATGTGCCATTTCAAAACGAAAATAAAGTGCTAATTGAATTTGAGTAGTTGATGCTTAGTCAGGTTCCTAAACCTTTACAGCAAAATAACCTATCTGATGAATAGTCTAAGATTAATGTCGTCGTTGACTTGATTTAACTGCTCTGATTGCATTATTTAATTTCCCCACGGCTCGGTGATCCTGGTTGCTTCATTAAGGGTTAGGCTTGTTTACGTGGTCGAAAGCTCGCTGTTAGTGATGATATCCAGCTGGTGGTTTGTTGGTCGTGGAGAGAATCGCTATTACTATACTTGGTTCCCCCAGTCTCAATGGTTATACCAGATTTGATGCGAGAGAAAAGACTGGCCGAGGGCTTCTTCGTTTGAGTCGTTGACGAAGAGCTCACTGCATATATGATTACCTGCTTTTTTGATACATGCGCGCTTCCAACTTCTTTATACAACACTGAATCTAAACTTCCAGAGTGTTGCTGGCATTCCTCGGATTTTTTTTGTTCAAGCAAGCAACCCAGAGGTCCCACTTCAGTTTGTTTCATAATCTTTGAAATATCTTCCATGCTCGCTGAGCTTCTGCGAATCTCCACTTTACCTGGGAAAATAAATTTTCTGTAAAATCTATATGTTTTACATGAAATATCACACTAAATATTAATATTTATTGTTATTATATTTGAGGTTTTGGATTTAGACGCCCTGTTCATAATTATTTTGTTATTTTTTATTACTCAGCAAACTATAAAATAAATAAATTTGCAATAGAGATTATCGAAATTTAGATGTCAAATACATTTACAGGTATTAAATTACTGAATATAAATTCACTTAAGTTAATGGTCTGTTTTTCTCAGAAAATTTTTGATAATACCAAGTTTAATTTAATTTATTATTTTTAAAAATAATTTGATTGGATTGTTTATTTTACTTCATTTATATGTACATATAATTTAGCAAAAAATTTTTTGTATTGAATATTTTGTTATTTGACTATTTGATTATTCAATAGTAAATAACAAGTTCTTTATTAACAATTACTTTATTATCAATTATTGAAATAGACAGTATTTATTTAATTGTATGTATTTATTTTTCATTCATATATTTCATTTTGTACAATAATTAATAGTCGATATTGAATATTATTTAAATATCAAACAAATATTGTATTTTTTAATTAAAAAAAAAATCATTTAAAAAATTACAAATTATTTTTAAAATTATTTAAAAATGAACTTTTGTAAGATTTAGATAATTAAACTAATTAATATAAAAATATTAAATATATAAAATATTAAATAAAGGTAAGATAAAAAATTTAACTCAGTTAATAAAAACTTATTTTAACAGTAATTCTTGCATGCATTTGTTATTTATTTTTTATCATTAAATTTTACAAATAAAAATTCATTTAAATATTTCCATTTAAATATTTTTATTGATTGATATTTTGCTATATGTTTTGCTAAGAAATCATTTAGACTAAGGTAAGATTGAAATCCATTAAAAGTATAATTACCTATATTTTCAATTGCATTTGAACTACCAGGATTAATTTGATTAACAAAGATCTTTGGTTTACTTAGATGTACATTAATTTCATTAAAGCTTATCTGTTGCTTGATTGAAGGACTTTGGTTTTTGGAAGAAATATTTTCAACCTGACTCTTACCCTCAGGATTTGAGAAATTGCGACGGTGTTTCGAGTAGAATTTTTTTATATTGGTAGATTCACATTCAGGCGGTAGAGCCTCCAATGAGACAGAGGACCTCTTTTCTTTGGCAAATACCATTCGCCAACTTTTGTTTTTACAGTCTTGTGATCGCCTTATTTTAGGAAGCGTCATAGATCGTTTTTCTATTACATGACTAGGTAATTTTTCAGGAGTTGTTAAATTTGATCCTTGTAGTTCCTTAGGGACTTTTGAGAGGTTGCATTTCTTACATATAGATATAACGTTATTATGTTGTATTGATGGACCAGATATTATTCCGCTGCTGCTACTAGTGATCGATATATCCTTATTTAGAACCTTGACAATAGGAAACTTCCCGGATTTTGTTATCGGTATTTCCTTGGAATCAAAGCTCATACTCAATCGATCCGTCAAATTACGTAAACGCGACAGCAAGGATTTGTGATTATTTGGACTTGGTTTATCGTCACAGCAACATCGGACCTACATGCATCATAATATCAATAATTATTTTAATGTTCATAAATGATACTGTCATTCTTCGCAGTTTTTTAAGTTGAAATTATCTTAAATAATTGGATGTATAATAATCACCTGAAGTGAATAGTTTTATTAAACAAAGAAAGGTAAAATAGTTCAAACAAACATAATAATATAGAATATATTCAATATATAATATGCATTTTATTTAGGAGGGTTTATATAAATTTATTAATATAATATAGATATGTATACTAATATTGTATGAGATTAATTAATTTTTATGTCAAATTATTATTTAATATATATTGTAGTAAAGGAATTTGTTGTTTATAAAATTAGTCGTATTTAAATTAATTTTTTTTTTAATTATTAAAAATACTCATTTTTTTACATTAAATATTAATAATGTCATATCTATAATATGCAGATATGTGGTAATATAGTTTTGGAATAAGTAGGTGTATGGGTTCGTATATTGAAAAAATATGGCTTCAATTAAATAACCATTACGTACAACATCTTTGATGAGGTGTCTAGAGATGATGGACTTAGTTTCGTGACAAGCTCCCTCATTGCTTAGGGTAAGGTTATTAAAGTGGTTATTACGTTGTTGCTGGGTTATATTAAGGATGAGATTACTATTGTCCTCGGCCGTTTTCGTTTCATCGAGCATGATAACTACCCGTTGTTGCTCATCACGCTCGATCTCCCGAATAATCCGCGAACCGTCATTAGAGCGTGTGCTAATCGGTGAGCTTATGTCACTACTGAGGGTATCACCTCGACTACGTTGATTCTCATGTTCACGTTCCTGTATCGCTTTCGCCAAATCGTGATTATAGTGATCTAATGAGGATTTCTCACGGCTGCCCTTGCGACTACCAGGATATGATTTTCGGCCCTGAGTATAGTTTGCATCTACTCTGCTTTCTGTTGATATCTTGAATTTGAGGGTCTTTTCGCTGACTTCGACCTCAGTCGCAGTTTCGGGATCACTACTTTCATGATCAGAAGCCTCTTCGAATGCAAGTTTATACGGTGTTTCGTCCTCGATAGATCGTGATTGCGATTGGAGGGTACCCGTAGAACGCCGTGATCGCATACTATACGAAGAGTTGGATTTGATAACCACACATCCAGTACGGCCGGGAATGACTGAAATATTTGAAGATGCGTCTGAAAGGAGTCCTAACCCAGAGGAACCACTTGGCTCCCCCAGTTCTATTATACTTTTGCGCTGATGCCGCTCATCCTTTGCCGCTTCGTTTAGCCGCCGATAGTAGTCCAAAGCATATCGTACTGGCGCCACTATCAGCTCCTAGAACAATAGGTTGTTTATAAATCACACTTTTCTAGGTTATCCAATTTTATTTTGATTTTTGTAAAGCCCAATTTCATTGCAACTATTTAATTATACTATCTTAAAATAGCTTATTATTTTACACTTTTGTATATTATATATAATTACTAGAATTAAATATTCAAATTAATATTACAAATTATATAAAACGTAAAAATAATTTGATGAATATAACTTATATTGTAGAAGTTTTATTATTAAAATATACAAGTTATAATTTCATTATATACTAAACTATTTTCGTTACTAAAATTTGCAAATATAATTAAGAAAATTAGAGTTGATATTTTTGTGACATAATAAGAGGGCATAAGAATTTTATATTTTAATAACTTAATAACGTTTTATTAATTCTTAACAGTTATACCTTTATATTTTTCAATAATTTTTTTGGTATAAAATTAAATAAAAACATTATATACGTTATTAGAACTCATATTAACTTATTTCAATCCATATTATTATAATAGAAAAATATTTTAAATTAATACGCTATATATATATATATATATATATATATATATAGAGAGAGAGAGAGAGAGAGAGATGTAAGCTATATAAAGTAAGAAAACAAAATAAAATCCTGTTTCCTTTTTACTTGTAGTTCAGGGAATAGCTCGCCGAGGATTTCAAAGAGAGGTAGCAGCACTAGGCCAATGAAGCTACATTGGGATGAGGGTTTAGTCACTTTGTCTCGATCCATAAATGGTGTGACTGGAAGGCCCTCGAGTTTCTCAGCGTCACTTTGCTTGAAGAATTCTTGAAGAAGACTGTCTAGCCAAGGTTCAGCCACGTCCATTGGCCGTGCCTCGTTACTGATATCCGCTACTTTTATCAACACCATTGACAACTGTGTAGATGAGATCTTATGAGAATTTTATTCTTATTAATAAATATATATTAAAATTTACATTTTGAGAAATAATTTTATACGAGGAAATACAAGGTGATATTTACTAAAATAAAATTATACTTATGTGATATTAAAAATAATTTTTAAATTGTGTGTTGGTACTAAAATTTAATTAAATATTGTAGATTAAATATTTCATTTACTACTAGATTAAAATTACAAATTAAAATTATAAAATAAAAAAATTATATTTACAATAATTATAGTATTAATTTATAGTATATAATCATTCTTGTATAGAATAAAGTATTTATATTTGATGTTTTGAGAAATATGGTAAATAAAAATATAAAATATATAAAACATAAAATATTGTCAGATTTTAAAATAGTTTAAAATACATTAGAAATCGATAAATTTAAGAATTATATATTTTTGTATTTCTTCGTTTAAAACAAATAAATATAAGTTACAAATTATTTAAAAAATTTTTTATTAAAAAATAAAGTATAAAATCTATTTATTCGGTATTACAACTATGCATGACAACTACAAATAAATAAATCTATTAGTTGCGAAGAAAGATATTGTTAAGATAAAAAAAGGGCAAAAAAGAGGGACAAGGAAGAAGTACTTACAAGATTAATGTGTGACTTGCTGGTGTAATTGAAATCGGACACAATATCGGTAAACTGGGCGAGTATCTCATTGTGCCTCGCCATGTCAGTAGCGAGTATGCATCGTATAATGCCTTCTCTAATTGTTCTATATGTTGCCAAATCCAGCGATGCCAAAATATTACATTCGGGTGCCTCGAGGACACGAAAGGCCACAGAACAGTGATGATTTTCAAGAGGTGAGATGTCATTATAGCGCAGAGCTAGCTCTGTGCGAGCGTTAATTTGATAGATGTTGTTATAACCTGGGTGATCAAGGTCATGACATATACATGAAACGATCAGTACAAGAACCTCCAAGTCGCCGATTTTTGCCACTAAATTGACGGCCCATACCATTGCGTACATCTGTAATTGTTTACATTTTATGTCTCATCAATTTGCAAAATTATTTATTGTTATTTGATTTTTGCTGTTTGTTTTCTGTGATTTTTCTTAACTTTTAATTTTTACTAATTATTTTACATTTACGAAAAATTCATCTTTATTCATTTAGAATTTTTTATATATTCTATTTATTTATCATTAAATCTTAAATGTACTAGTATATTAGTATATATATCATTATATATATATATATATATATATATATATATATATATATATATATATATATATTATCAAAGCGTTGCACAGGAATAAAATTTATTGTAAAAAAAATAAATAAATTATATATAACATGTTTTTATAAAAAACTATTTATAACATCAATAAATGATAATTAAATAAAAAATATGAAAAAGTATATCCATTAAAATTGACCAACCTCTATATTAATAAAAATAGAAAACAAATAAGTTAATTTTTTAGAAATACTTAAAAAATAATTTTTATTGTTAAATAAAAGTCTTATTTAATTAATTTTACTTGTCATTTTCATTTTAATAGGTAATAAAATTGATTATACTTAAATTGATAATTATACATATTAAAATATAAATAAAAAATATTCAAATATATTTGTTTTTAATAATAAAATACAGTGAATGTATCAGTTATTTTTAACAAGTCCAATATTGTAATTTAAGTAATTTCTTGCAGAATAGATTATGTTTTAAATATAATAAATGAATTAAATATTATTTTGTAGACATTATGGACATAGACATTATTTTCATAATTAGTTTTATTAATTTAAGAATTCATTGTTACTCAATATTTTTCAATTTGAGAAGTGAATCATTAATTTTAAATTAGTGAAATTCTTTTGTAGTAAATCTCCATTAAGCATTTATTACTCTAACTGTTGTCCTCAGTAATTTAGGTTTTTTAATACTATTTAAGTTTTATATTATTCAACGTACAAATGTTGATTATTTATATACAAAGAAATTCATTTCATTAATAATGTTTCTATGTATTGATTTTTATCAATTTATGACAAAAATTTAGAATGAAGAGTCATTAGTTCGTTTGAAGGAAGTTCGGTAAGGTTTTAATTGCTTATTATTTTAAATTGTTATTACATTTATTCATTCGATTTTAATTTAAAATGCTTTATAGTAATTTGATAGTTATTTTAATTGTAATTCTACTTTCAATTATAATAAGCTTACATACTAAGTGCATTTTTCAACTACAAACGTAAACTTAAAGTGATTACACAAGCTTTCACATTCATAAACCAACTATAATTTTATTTCATAATTTTTACTAACTCCCAAAAATATATATAATGTACGATTTTTTCCAAGTATAGAAAGAACTATTAATATTCAAAAGCATATATATAGTTTTTTAAGTTTACTAAAATTATTAATAAATATTAAAATATTTATTTTTAATTATATTCTTTTTTTGATATTTAATTCTATCATTACATTATCAGAAAATTAAAATTGGCATAAAAATAAATTTTAACTGTATATATTAAACAAAAAATTTAATTAATGAAAATGAAATTTATACAAAGTGATTATTAAATATAGCAGCAAGATATTAGTTCTCAGTTACAAAAATACTAGATTGGTGTTTTTCGAAATTATTCTATAAATAATTATGACTTATTTTATCAAAGAATTTTGTTAAAATTGATATTTTAATAATTTATTTTTTATTATTTCAGATATAACTTAGTTGTAGCAACATTGTTCGAGAGTGAAAAGAAAATCTCTCGAATTATATTTACTAGAAAAACCTTCAACAGCTAATAAAAAGGGAATTATCGAACGGATACGAAAAACTAAGAATGTCTCGCCAGTGTTGCATGAGACTCGAAAAGGTTTGTACATCTGTGAACACGTAAACAGCCATTTATTGCCTTTCGTATTAAAGACGTAGTAATTGTTTTGAATGCAATGAAGACCCTTGCGACTTACCATCAAAACTCGGCTAGCTTGTTTACAAGAGTATATTTTGAGGATTAAAATATTTCTAAACAGTTGAATGAAAACATTTCTTAAAATCCGTTGCGACCCGAAACTCGGCACGCGCGAGTCTCGACATTTGCGTCGCACGTGTGCCTTCAATGCCACAAGGGCATACGCATGCATTGTTGTCAAGTACGACAACCGTTGCTGCTTGCATAGGCCAAGCGAAGACGCTTGACCGAAAATCACCCCGACCACGATGAGTCCCGGAGAGGGGCAAATCTTCCACTTCACGCATTGCCGCCAGAGATACCCTTTCGATACTCTCATTGTCTAAGCCTAATTTCTTATGAAGTGGGGAAAGGGTGTGCACATTCATCATGCCTCCGAAAAGCGGCGCGCCCTGATTGGAAAACTAAGACCAGAAGCTCCTTGAGTGGGGACTCATGGCAAGAGGCCTTAAAGATGAGAACAAGACAGCGAAAAGTCGCTGTTCGCGGGTGATTATTGGAATACGCAGTCCGCGTGGGCAGCCAAAGGCCTTTCTTCCGAAAAAAACAAATCACACAGAGTGAGAGTGAGCAGTCTAGGACAAGGTCAAGTAATAGAAATTAATTGTCCACGGAAACCAAGTCAAAAAATTCACTCAACGCAGAAATAAGTGCTAGTACTTCAAGGCAAGAATAGTACTGGTGAGTATAAGAGTCACGCCGCACGCAGTCGTCTTGCTGCGTGCAATTGTATCCACCTTACCTCTGAATCAGAGATTGAATTACGACATCGCTGTAAGTACGTTGATACATATTATCTCTTCAATTATTGTCAGCCTTGCGGCAGAACCGACATAAGACAATCAAGATTATCTCACATTCTCCAATCAGAAGTGTGTAATAATTATTTATCTGTGCAATATTCATCAATTCAACTATCTCAAGGCATCTTGTGTAGTGACACCTCCTATATAAGAAGCCAATCAAGAAATCGTATCTTCATATAAGATTCAAGAAGATTCTACAACATCCATTTGTAAATTGTGTAATAAATTGTATAATAAATATAATTAACCAACTCTCACGACTCTTGTACAGCCCCTACATTTCACTCCTTCCCGAGCGCCTGCTAGGGCGGGCGGCAAACTAAGCTATTGAAGCATTGGCAGTTCGAGCCAAGAATTACATCACTACAATTTTCGAACAAACATAAATAATTGACATCTCGCTTTTTATTAGAAATTTGTTTATCAATTTCTTAATTTAATATTTTTACTTACAGTATTATTTAAAGTTGAAACTATTCGAAATGTATTAATTTCCATTTTATATTGACAAAAATTCAACTAAATTCTTTTTTCAAATAAATTGTATCCAAAAATGGTTAACTGTGTTTATTAATTATTTTATTTAATTTAAATTGTATCATTATCAATATTGATTTTATATCATGTCAAAGAACAAAACCGGAAGAAAATAATTTTGTAAACAAATTTCCTTTTACCAACAATGAAAAATTCATTGCGATTATGAGATATTTTGAGTTGATATTATCCCTTCCATGTGGGCAATAACGTTCATGAATATAAAGCATCAACTTTTTATTATACAATAATCATATCGATAGAATGATTAAATTATAATGTGCACTAAATTTTTGTTTTATTTAAGCAATACTTTCAATTTTATTATTTAGGTTGTATTCAAGTCTAATGTAATCAAATATTTATTGACCCTTTTTTACTCTTTTTATTATAACTATTTCATATTATTTGTGCAATTACGTTATATATCTTTTTGCACTTATATTGAATATAAGTTAATAAAAAACAAGTTTAATATCTTTTTAAGCATTAAATTAATTTGATGTTCTTACGTTAAAACAAATTTATTTAAAAAAAATTAATTTATTTAAAATAAATTTAATAGTCGTGTTATTACTGTAGGATATTTCTAATGATAAATTAATACCTGACATGATTATTTATTTATTGATTGATTATGTATTAATAAAAAAAAAAACAAGTTAACATTGACAATTTTATCTATTTTTTCTAAAAAAAACATAAACTATGGATTGAATTGAATACTATAATATATTTTTATGAAATAGAGTAAATATAAATTTAGAATGAAAATATTTTTTGTGATAAAATAGTATGTTTATTTAATGGCGACAAATAAATTTTGAAATAAAAATAAAAAACTTACATATAGCAGCAAGAATAAAAATGCGATACGTACCATCTGTGCAACGCAGAAGCAATGCCTGAAGTTATGAAAGGGCACTTCGTTATAATTATTGTATACCTCATAGATAAAGTTTCGTAACGTTGATAAGGGTATGTTAAATTTATGTGGCAGTTCAAGTTCCACGAACATAGTTTGGAGCATGAGGAGCAATTCTTCATCTTCCCATTGTCGTGCATCAAAGGCAGGCGAACGCAGCCATTCGCGAACACTCGAAGATACGACGACATCACTGAAACAAGAACCGCAATCCCTTGATTCTCAATAAAGTAGTCAATTTTTTGCTTTTTGTTATCAGCCAACGCCATCTAATGAGCATCACCAATCCATATACCCTATTAAAAACAGTATTAAATTAAAAATGTCAAGAAAGTAATTTCCCACTAATTCGTATCCTTTTCATAACGAAATTAGTACTTTACGTAGACAATAAAAAAAATAGCATTGAAGCAATGAAAACTTACAGTCGTTTGGGTATGTCTCAAAGATTTTGTTTTGTAAGTAACTACTTTTATTTGATTTATAATTACAATAAAATCAAAGTAATCACTGAGTATTATATAACTGGATTCACTGAAAACTAAGGGGTGGAGAAAAATTAGAGTTTATATTAATTTATTATTTCTATGTGCAAATTTATTGTTCAGTTAACTCAGGCCCTTCCTCTAACCTACGGTGTGTACGGATTATAAATAAACCCACTGATATAAGAATACACATTCATTATAAAGCATATTGGGTTATTTAGAAGTAACAAATTTTCTTTATTTTTATTAAATAAAGGTTTTTTATAAAACTTAAAATGATAACTTTTTATTAGTAAATCGAATCTTTTATTAGTAACGTAAATTTATTATCAATATTGACTGTTTAATTTTATTTTAATTTCAATGAAATCAACAAGTTTGAAAAATTGAAGATTGATTTTATTTTTCAATAATATCAAATGATTCTTTGTTTTTCAAAAAATAAATTTTTAAAATTTACGAATTCTAAAAATTTGAAAAATATAGAAAAATAAAGTTTGTATAAGCAATGAGAACAATTTTACTTTATAAAATTAGTTTTTTTAAAATAGTTATTAAAATATTTTTAAAAATTGAATCCATTTAAAAATGATTATTTAAATGACATTATAATTTTAATTGTTAAATTATATAAAAATTTTAATATAACATTTGTACTATTATAGAAACTACCAAATTATTCATGTTTCTTAAATGAACATAATATTATATTATTTAATTTTTATTTACATTTAAATATTTATTAAAATTTCTAATTATTAACGAAATATTTATCTATTAAACTGTTTTAAAAATTCTATTTGTCATCTGCATAATTAAAAATATTTGCCCATTTTTTGTTTGTATAGTTTGATTATTAAATATTATAAAAATAATACAAATAAAGAAAAAACATTTAAAATTTAAGTTATATTTTTAATTTTTTCGTTAAACTTTTACATTGTAATTGTTTAGAAAAATTGTTAAAAGATTGATTTTTTAACGTACAAATTTTTGATTATACACTATGTAATAAACAAATAAATTTAATTGATTTATGATATATTATGATATATGATATTTATTATTATGATATATGATATTTATTATTATGATATAACAATATAATATAATACATAGCTGTTCGGAATTGAATTCTTTATCAAGCCCTTAGGCTCTCGGGAATGTATAAGTTTTCGAGCTCACGAATTTCATAAACATTTGATTCCCGGAATTCTCGAAACTTCTAAAGCTTTATTCTTGAACTTCCTACAATGTTTATCTGGTCTCCGCATAGCAATGTCGGTTGGAATTCTCCTACCTTCTAAAGCCGTGGTTCTCAGAATTTTCGAAACTTCTAAAGCATTAGACTCGAACGTTCTGCAATGTTGTCCGCAACACCTATGCATTGTTGTCAGCCAAGTAAGCTGCCGCGTAAATTTTTAAGACAAGCACATGACGAGACGGCGCTTATAGTTTCTCCGCCAGGTAGCCAGTCAGTCATGCTACTCAGTCAACTAGCTATTCGCCATACACTCTCAAGGTACGACCACCGAAGAAGGAAGACGCATCTATTCTCCTGTGCTGCAAAATAAAGGAGCTGACACTCTCCCTTTCAAATCAAGCATGTGCTAGACTATAACTACGGAGAATCCGAAATAGTGAAACTAATCAACTACACGGAGCATCCGGGATGGTGGAGGTTCGACAGAGAACAGATCAAGGCTACGTTTTCTCTGTGAGTAAACCAAGTCGAAGGTATAAATCATCACTAATACTTACAAGATAAGCATGATACTATCATATTCATCAATCAGATTCAGTTCAAACAACTGAATCAGCATGATTGAACATAGTATATACCCTTCCATCACATAAATCCAACACAACAATAATGTAATTGTGAATAAACTTTAATAAACCATATTAAAGAAAGAAGCGCACACTGTAAACCCCTTCCACTTGATTTCTTCCCAAGCATCCACAAGGGCAGGCGACAAATCATAATTATCTATCGAACTTGGCAGTTCGAGTTACAAAATCACACACTTTCAAACATTTAATCCTTCGAGCCGGATCAGTGCAATTTTCGAACAGCTTTACAATAAAATATAAGAAAGAAGCATATTAAGAAAAATCTTGTAGTATACCTAAGGCAATCGTTATTATATATAATTACTATATAATTAAATTAGGTTTATACAGTTAATTTCCCAAATGCATTTAATGTATATAAATAACATTATTCTTTCTGTAAATGTATGTTGTACCTATACTACATACTAAAATAAGGTATATTAGTCTAATTTTAACTTTTGTATCAATTACTATTGCATTTTCGAAATAGATTTTTATTTTTCTTATTATTTTAATAAATTTGTGCTTTTTTATTCGAATAGTCTGCGTTATAAAATTGTACTGAATTTTTTATTGGTATCAATACGCGTCATTATCTCTTATTAAATTAAATTAATTTTCATCTGAAACCTTATATATTTTTATTAGACAATATTATTGCTAAATTTATTATACAATAAGTGAAATTTTTATTCTAATAGCAATTATGTAATTTTAGTTCGTTGTGTATTAGGTTTATTTACTGTTTAGGCCTTCAGATTCAGTTTTATTAATATTTCTATTATAGAGTAATAGCTTGTTGCTTCTACTCATAATTGATTGATATAAAATTTCGAATAAGTTTAATTTAAACTTTTGTTTGTATAATCTGTTTATTAATTTTATTCATATCCCGGTTATTGCCTTTTCCGAAGTGTACCTTTTAACTCCTTTATTATTGATATTTATGTATAAACTATATTTACTATACATTTCTGTTTCTGTGTAATTGGCAAACTTTTTATTATTTTGTATTATTTCTTTATGTTAATTAAATAGTTCGTTTTTTAAATATTATGTTTTTATTGTAATAAACTTTTTTTCTATGATAGTAAATTATATATTTGTGTTTTTATTGATCTTGTCTCCTATTTATTGAATAATTTATGGATTTCGATATCATTCAGTAAATTTAAAATTAGTTTTTCTTGTTATATAACGTGCCTTTTTCACAAAATATTTATTTCTGACAAAATTTGTATTATGTATAATTATAATAATCGTTAATACAATTTTAAAATAACAAATTGGATTTTTTTAAATAGTTTTTTCATTGCCTGCAAGAATATTAATAAAAATATAATTTATATTAGTATAATATATATAGTTTAAAATTATATAGGCGTTAATGCAGTCAAATTTAATATTAAGGTGAAAATATTTTCACGTTTAAAACTCAAGAACATCGTTATGCAAATTCAAATACATAATTAAATATATAAATAATTCATAATTTAAATTCATTGGCCTCTGAATTGTCTAAACTCATTCGTAATTATATCGTAGAAATGAAAGCAAATAAATATCGGGACTTTCGCTGGTCTCGCTTCTCAGCATTAATAGATATCTTGTTTATGATTACATAACATAATTAAAACGATACATTGAATGAAATATCTTCATATGATAGGCAAATAATGTTATTTGATTCTAGAAGCAAAAAATAATGATAGATCATACAAAAGGGTTATGGATTTTTTAAGCTATATGAGAATTTATAAACGCAGTTTATAAAGAGTGATCGTATGTTTTTTATTTAATTATCATAAATAAATTTTACTAATTGAATATATATTAATTCAAAAATAATTTGACTCATACATTTGCAGATATGTTAGATAATTTATTATTAATATTTTCCAATCTCTAATTTATTCATTAACAAAAAATTACTTGACAACAAATATAAATAACTAAATAATTAGATAAAAGATGATTAATAACTATAATAAGAGTTACATCTTTATTAAAATTTAAAATTTGTACTCACTGTTCTTTTTGGATTTATAGATATTGTTTGCATTAATTATCTATTGATATTTCATAATTTTTTATAATCCAGATAAATAATTGCAGAAAAAAATTAATTTTTTATATAATCTAATTAAGCTCAACTAATATATCAAATTAACTTATTGAATTCATACAAGTATTTGTAATTGTTGTTCTTATCTTAGTAAATAACAGTTAAAGTAAATATTACTTATTTTAAACTACTTACGCTAATATGATAATACTAGATAAAGTCATATAAAATTCTCGGTAATGAATTGTAGTAAATGCAATTGTTCGAAATAATAGTAATAGAATTTCTTATAAAATATTATTGAATGAATGTATATAATGTAAATTCTATCTATAATTAGAAATATTTACAGAATTAACTTTTAATACAAGTATGAAGTAACAATAATTATAAAATACAATATTTAATGCCAGGATTAAGAAATTGAAATGTTATATCTGTATAAACAACGAAAATATTAATGTTTATTATGAGTAAATTTATAAAATTAATTAGATAAATAACAAAAAATATAAAAGAATTAATATAATTAACAGAAAAGAATCAGTATTGTAAGAGAATATGTTAATTTTACTTTAATTTGTTTATTTTATCTAATTTTAAAGTGTTACTTATTACTTAGATCACTTTTTTAATAAATTTTTATTTATATTCTTATGTCAAATTTTATTTATATTCTTATATATACATTGGGGTATTAAGTAAACATATGGCGAATTATTTCTAACCTACAGATTTTATATTCCATTTTACATTTACATTTTAAAACTGAAAAATAAAGTAGAAGTAAGATTATTTGTTGTA